GCCAAGCTGAACGGGGTCAACACACATTGAGCTAACACACATCCTGGGGATCGTCGGGCCATTTCTGAGCGCCCGCGTTGCCCCTGCAGGCCCACGCACACGTAGCATGAGTATGTTCAGGTGATGCCGATTGATCCCCGACCCTCCGCGGCCCTCCCCGATCGGGCTCCGGCTCGGGCGTTGCTCAAAGGGGGGGTGATATATGGCGGGGGGGAAACGAGCACCTTCTGTGCCCCTTTTGGGCCCGCCCCAGGTGTGCCCCTTTGGGCACACGACGTGCACCTTGCTGCACCCCCTCTAAAACGACGCCAGGACGAGGACACATTCGGGCGAGGATGTATTGAGAATCTCTGGGATCTCGCGGCTAGGGAGGATGTCTCGGGCGCCGCAGCCTTCTCAGAGCATTCCAGGTCGTTCTGAGAGCCTTCCAAAATGCTCTGGAACGGACTTATCCTCATCCTGGCTCCGTCCGACCCCCCCCCCCTCTCGTCGCCCCCCCCACCCCGTTACACAACGCTCAACCGGCGGTGTCACGGCCGCGGCCGGCGGCTGGCGGGGCGAGCGCGGATTGGGCAGGCGCGTGCGCGCTGGGCCCCCGTCTCGCGCCGCCGCCTGGCATCGTCCTTCTTCGCCTGCCCCTCGGGGGCGCGCGGGGGGGCCGGGCGGGGGCGGGGCGGGGGCGGCGGAGCCGAGCGGGGTCCCAGGCTCCGGAGGCCTCCCAGGTGGGGTCCGAGCGGCTGGGGCCGGAGGCTCGCGCCGCATCTCCGATGCATCGCATCGGGGGGGGGCGGTTCGACGCGGACCCCGACTTTCTCCACGCTGACGTCGCCGAGGCATGGCAACGTCGCCGATGCATCGCCGTTGCAGCGGCGATGCGGCGCGATCCTCCGCTCCCATCTGCTCAGGCCCTATCTGGGAGGCCCAGACGTTCGCCATGAAGCAGACGGGGATCCTGAGGGCAGCGGGTCCTGAACTCTTCGCGGTTCCTGGCCTCCCAGAGACCCTCCAAAGGCCCCCGGGACTGCCAAACAACGGCTCAGGAATGAGAAGCCCGTCCCGGGGAAAGCCCAGGGATCTATGCAGCCGACCCGTATCATATGGACTCACGGTAAGGATGAAAGGGCCTTGGAAGACTGTGTCGACATCTCGCGGGCGGGGCGCGGCCAGCAAAAGCGGCCAAGCATGGGCCGAGGAGAATGGATGCAAGGGTACCCTTGCGAAGGTTGCCCATCCTTGATTAACTATGCGGGTTGACTGTAGGGCCCGCTTCCCTCAGGACCAAGTCAAGCCAACAGGACCTTCGACGTCATGATTCTTTGAATCCCTGTTACACTCCAAGAGCCCCGGGGCTGCTAAACAACGGCTCGGGAATGAGCAGCCGGTCCCGGGGAAAGCCCAAGGATCTACAGGGCCCGCTTCCCTCAGGACAAATTTCCTCCAAGCCAACCGGACCTTCGGCGTCGTGATTCTTTGAAAATCCATGTGTTCTGTCTCCGATGTTTGGGCTCTCCTGGTGCCGTCTCCGGGCCCTTGGGGAGTCACCATAAACATGGGCCCAGATGACGAGAGACGGCCCATGGAGGTCTGGGGGTTAGGAGGCCACTCCAGGGAGGCCTTCATGGGAACGACCAGTGGCTGGTGAGCCTAATCCTACTAGCCCTCCGGGCGTAGGTGGCCTAGGGCGGTTTCTCTTTTAACCCCTCCCTCTTCCCCTTCGGGGACGGGTTCATCACTTTTCCCTATGAATATACACAACCTGCCCCAGGCGACCGGCAGCCAACCAGGAACCATGAGGACTCCATGCTCACCCCCCCGCACCATCCCTGTCCAACAACGAAACAAAACGCACTCTGCCTCCACATTTGGAGCATGCGCGGCCAACCCGATGCGGCCCCCCCACCGCCCCTGTCCAAAAACAACACGACATGTATAATATATGCTGTGGGCAGGGCTACCATCCATAACACAAAACAGTACAACATGCCCCTGGCGGCTAAATCTGGATCATGCGCGGCCGCCCCGCGATCACTTCCAAGTGGCTTTTGACAGGGACAGAGGGGGTGGTGGCGTATGGCCTCCTGTGCGCCGGCCCACCAGAGACAATGATGGGCATTGGCTTTCGACAAGAATGGTGGGGGCCGACATGTTTCCCGATGTGTGCTGTCACGTGCGCAGGCGCACCTGACACACTCTGCACGTGCCCCGGACGTGGCGCACCTGGCGCGGCTGGAGTATGCGGCACACCTGGAGCACGCGGAGCACGTGGCGCATCTGGCGCACCAGGCGTGCCTGGCACGCTCGGGCAGGCTCGGGTGTTACTTATGTGTTGGGAGGGCGGGTGGGAATGAGCTAGACGGCTTGCTATCCAGGGGGTGTCTTGACCCCTCCTCCTACACCCTCCCCTGGACCTGGAGGGGAGTTTCGCGAGCGGTCAGAGCATCTAAGATGGCCCAAGACGGCTCCACGAGTGCCTCAGAAAGCCTAAATCTAAAAAGCTCTT